GGATCAAATATACATTTTTGCATTGTTTGGAGCAAATTACTCAACGCCCTGCCACAATATGAAAATTCAAAACCAAAACAATAAGATTCTACGAGCTGCATATTAAACAGTACAAAAATAAATGAAACATATATTTGGAACTTGAGCAAGTCATGGTGGTGCCCTCTATGCTGACTGACTGACGAACAAAATATTTCTGAAAACGCTTGGTGAAAACTGACTTTAAGCGGTTTCCCCCACTTAATCACATTCCTATCCGAAACCAAATTACGTAGTTCTACTGGGAATATTGACCATACAATATTAGTTTTGTGCGTCTAGATGTCTGTGTATATCGTCTGTCATCTAGCCGAATATACGTACATACATAAGCATGTATACAAAGGAACGGCAGTAGTAGCAGCAGCCGCTTATTTACTCTGCTCTTTGCATTTTAGTTATAAACGAAACAAATACAAATGAAACAAAAACGAAACGAAACATTTACATTATTTGTTTTGTAGAAAGAATGCGATTGTTTTAGACTTTGTCGTCTTCTTCTTATTATTATTATTAGTATATTTCTTACGATCACAAAATAATTATTGATAAGGATTCAATTATTATAAATTATTTATTCATTTGTTGATGTGTGAATGAATGTACAATAGAATGGGTCGATGAACACATAAAAATGCAAAACTGCACACGTTTTGAAGTTTATCATCACAGGTACACATAATTCATGTATGTTTGTATGTATGTTTACATACGTATGTTTGTATGCATGCATGTATGTACATGTATAATAATTGCAAGAAATATATTCTTGGTTTATTTTACCTTGTCTATGAGTATTGACCTGTATTAAAGACTTTGCGTGAGATTTGCATATAACTAGGCTAAAATGGTAAGGAATTTTCAAGCAATTTATATTTTTGTAATTGCAATTTTTTCAAACATATCGCTTTTTCACACTGAAGGAGAATTGTCAAATTGCATTGCTCAAGGTCGATTTGGCACAGACTATATAATTATTGATGCTTTTTTTCGTTGGTCGGTCTTTTTAACTTAGCATGTTCTAATATTTGAATTCGTACTAGGTCAGGTGTTAACATGGATAATATCGGTCTACAAAGGATATACATTTTAAATAATCCCAATTCGTACAAAACTAAAAATAAAAGTCTTATTGCCAAATAAAAATTAACAATTCCAATATTTTTCCAACTAAAGATCTGGTATGAATTTAGGATAAAAATAATCACTTTTTCTGGCACCTTCCCCACGACGGGTCGTGATTTTGAATAACCAAGCGAAAAGAATATCTGATTCTTTTCAAGCTTTATACATCCCAATATTTCTACAAACACAAGATCTGGCATGAAAATGGGATATAGCGGAACCACTTTCTGATGGTCAGAAATTTTAATAATTGTGAGATAAAAAAACATATTCAAACGCCATAATTTTTACATTTTTTTTTTAATTTTATAGAATGAAAGCAAAAACTGTCGGAAATAGCATCAAATTTTAGAATAAGTTTAGATTTGTTCGAATTCGTTACCTTTGGCACGAATTATTGTCTTCAAACGGCCAATGAAACCGTCACACGCTGCCCGAATGTTGCTCTGCGGTATTTTGGTCCATTCTCGGCGAAGCGCTTGCTTGAAATGAAGCGAGGAACCTCATTTTGGAATCATTCCTGGGTGGCGCGTGCTGAGTGCCATGGTGCGGAGTCCTGTTGGAATGTCCAAGGTCTGCGGCCAAAATGTCTGCGTACCCAAGGCTTTAATACACCCTCCAGAATATTTTCGCGATAATATTCGTCATTTATTCTGATGCTACGGTCGATTAATACGAGCGGAGAGCGACCATCGGTTGTTATGGCGGCCGACACCATTATCATGGCCGGCGCTTGAGTTCTGGTGGTCAACCGAATGTGCACATTTTAAGCTGACCTCTTTGGTAAATAAACACGATCATTTTGTTTCTTTACATATTGCTGGACAACGATTGTTTTCTCATCGGAGAAAACCAAAATCGGCAGTTCACCACTTTCGGCCAAGCGAAGCAACTCTTTGCTCTTTTGAGTCTATTTTCTTTCTGTTGCGGTGTAAGCCCTTGCACTTTCTGGAATTTCAATGGCTCTACCCCGAGCTCATTTTTCAATATTTGCCGAATGGAATATTGCGATTTGTTCAGCTCACGAGCCATTTTTCGGCCACGGCGACGCCGAAACAATATAATGAGATGTCGTTGCAATAATTTTAACATTTTAACAGGCTTAGAAATGACAGCAGTCTGAAATTGGTTGCAGTGTTTTCATCTCATCCTGTATCTCTTATAACATGCGTATACAGTTGGCAGCATTTTTCAAACTTTGTGTATCTCAACATGGTACATAACGGGCCAATATCTTGAGAAAACACAACTATCACATAATGTGAATCAAGTCAAAGGAGAATATCGGTTCACTCCTTTAACATGTTAAAAGTTACAAATGTCCGTGTTATAGTTTTTTTTAAAGGCACTTTCGGAATGGAGGTTGTTTCAGTTTTTACCACACTTTAATTAATTAGGTGGGGTTCACATTTTACCTGTAAAACGGCAAATTCAAATGTTCTGCATTTTACAACATTATGCCTCTTTATATAAAGTATCAGATTATATATGTCTTTTGTCGTTATATCTTGTTCAGAGCAACATTTTATTCAAATTTATCCCATCTGTATATCTGCCCGTCCGACTGACGAAATCGTGATACAGCTCTCAGAACTAAACTGGTATTCAAAGTAGCATACATCGGCTCACTTTTAAGTAAATCACCTGTGCATACTTTTAGTAAATCATTCATCCTCTTGGCACAGAAGTTTCAGTGTGGGTCCATCATTTCTTGTGGTCTTCACATTGCGGTGTCTCCCGATTTTCGTAACTTCGAAGGTATTAGCTTGAATATTCAACTAAATGACTGTCATATAGCTAATTTTACGTATTATAGAGGTCCTGGTCACTTACTGTAGTCTAAGTGGAGGTAGTAACGGTATCCCATAATTATTTTAACGGTTTATGTTCTACTATATGGGCTACAATTTTGTAGTTTCAGTATTTGGGAAAAATATTTGTGGTGTTCCCGTACTTTCCTAGAGGAAACAAGTAAAAAAACATCTAAGTTCGACCGGGCCGAACTTTTAATACCCTCCACCATTTTTAAGGTAGTGGAAAAAAGGTAAAAAAAAATTGTCGAAAAATGACTTTTAAATAAAAACCATTATATTGGGGCTATACCCATTAGGACCTTCAAATACACTAGAGCCCCGACTTGTGTCGTTAATAGGGACCGGAGAATCGCGACGCAACTGAAAACGACGCAAATCGAATCACTGAAATTTAGTTTACTAGTTAATATATTTAAAACAGTGGTGCCAGAAGTTGTAAAAATGCTAAACGACAGAAAATTTGCTAAATCAGGCACTGCAAATGCAAAAAATAGTAATCCACAATGTAGCTCGGACCGACGCAACTTGAAATTGCAACGACGCAAATCGAATTTTCTGGTTTTTGAAAAGCGACGCAACTCAAAACGACACAAATCGTGACGACGCAAGTCGGGGCTCTCGTGTAAATATAATATCATCAAATGATCCATCCGTTTAGTATTTCCAACATATCGCCCGCTATCGTTTATATTTTCGATCCAGTAAGGAAACGTCAAATGTCGGGCGGGCTGACTATATTATACCTTACACCACTATGTATATTTTGTAGAGCTTCCGTAACAAAAGAAGTTATTTGAAGTAGATCATATCACGAATCAACATTTGGCTTTAGAGCACTTATAGTTTGGTTTTAGAGGGAACTAATATATGGGACGCATATCCAATTTTGAATCGATTTTCACTAAATTTGACGGAGAAATTTTTATCTTTTATACCAACTGACATGCTATAGAGTGCATGATCTCTTCGAGAAAGATTATATTAAAAAGTATATATCGAAGCCGATTTCCACCAAATGGAAACGTACGTCCCGAAATTCACTCGATTTGGGCGGATATTAGCCATTATTTGACCAAAAAAAATGTACCTGATTTGTCAGCCGCTCTACAGGTCGCTATTGAACCAAATGACACGGAATTTTGCAGGAGGAGAGAGTTATGCCATGTTTACGTTAGAAGTTTTTGTAGGGTTAACCTATTTTGAGGGGATTTATTTGAAGTAAAAGTAATGGATATGACAATTTAAATTCAAATCCAGTGGGTTAACCCTCATATATATAAACGTACTATTAGGGTCAGGGCAGAAGTTTAGCATTTTGGATAACCATTGCATTTTATTTAGCGGGTAAAGTGGACCACACCCTTCGTGTAAAATTGTTTTGAATACCCATCAGCACCACAGAAGGCCAAAAATATAGGGCAACAACCAAACTTAACATTTGGAAAGGGCAGCATTGCATTATTTCAAAAACGAAATCTACCAAAATGGATTTAGACCCAAGGGGTCAGCCAACACATTTAAGTGCTGCAGGGTATCACATGGTCGGCCCCGCACGACTATAGCCTTTGCTTACTTGTTTTTAATTCAGGAAGTCGAATTTCAATCGATAACTTGAAATCTTTTAGGGATGTAATCGTCTTTGAGTAAATGAGCGTTATGATGTTCAATGCGATATTTTTCGAGCCGCAGTCGTAACTCAAACCATACACAAAGTGTCGTAACGATTAGTTCAATCTGAGACCAAATCAAGTCTAGAGCTAATGTGTTGACCTATAAAAAACTGTTTTTTTGATACCTTCATAAATAACATTTTCTCAAGAGAAATCTCTTACTATTTATATCGAATCATTTTTATCATCGAATCATTTTACTGTTCTTCTTTCTTGCTTTCCTAATTAAAAAAAAAGATTCCTTTCAATATTTTAACACTATAATAGAATTTATTAAAAAAAATCTCACTTGCATACTCATATATATTCACTTATATACACATCTATAATTTCTTTATAATTCTGCACTTACTTTAGCTCATTCCACTGCATTCGAAGTTTTATCAAATTCATTTTCATATCCATAAACGACAACATTTCCAAGTCCTCTAGATGCGAATGCGTTATTTTCAGGCTGACATTGACATAGGGATCAAATTTACTCGACAAGGCATTGACAATGGTATGGAACGAATCGACTTTTTCGCACAACAACTCAACATAGTTATGGGCATAGGTGGGTTCACAGGTACAGGGCGAGATTTCGGGTCGGGCAGCACAATGGACCGAGGCCACATTGGTAATACTCCAAACGGCATAAACTAATGATGCCATTTTGGAGGACTGCGCGTATCAAGGTTTTGCTCTTTGATATAAATGTGTATGTGTATTTACGGGTTGAAACACTTTTTTTTGTTATGTTTGTTTTTTTTTTTATTTTAATATTTTTGTAACAACATTTTCACAATTATGAATAATATATTATTTTTTATTGATTCTCTTTTAATTCAAGTGTAGTTTTATGTTAACCACTTTTGGAAATTTTTTCTTCGTGATTTTCGATTTGATTTTGGTTTCCTTCACTAATACAATCACAGATGTGTTGGTCGGTAGGTCGGTCGGTCGGTTTTATTTCTCTTCCCGTATTTGTGTGTTTATGACTCCGGATTCTATTGAATTACAGATTTTTCATGACACACTCACATACATATGTTCCTCATTGACTTAAATATGTTTGAATGTTTGCCACGGGTTTTCCGTATGGAAAATTTAATTTTTTTTTTGTTGTACAAAAACAATTTCACAAATTTACACCACAATCAGTTGACGAGATGAAGATCGGGGAAGGAGAAAGGCAAACTGTGATTACTGCGAGCGACTGCGACTAGGACGACTAAACAGTGATGACGGCGTTTTAATGTTAAACGAACCGAGGGGCTACTTGAGATTGCTGGCTGGCTGGCTGACTTGCGGGCTGGATTGCTGCTTGCCTTTTCTTCTGCTGTTGTTTCTTATCAAGTCCAATGACGGACGTACAACTCAAAACATTCATCAAAATTCGAAATTATCAACAACTCAGCGCCGAAATGGGCAATTGGAATTCTCTTCGAAAACAAATTGAAATGTTTCAGTTTGTTTTTGTTCTTTGATGGAGAGATGCTTTTCACTCTCTCCTCTCTCTTTCTCTTGGGAGATTTAGAACTGCAGTTTATTTTTGTTTTTCAAATAAATACTTTTTTTCGTTTATATCACTGATTCACTGATAAATGGAATGGGATTTCTGGCTTATATGGCTTGATACTGCAACCACCTTGCCGTTTGCCAATGTTCCGGCGTCTCGGGTAGACGTTGAACGAATTTGAATTTCAATTATTGGTATGACTTGGACACGATCGAATCAAATAGACCAATACTTGCCACTGTCGCTGTTGTCGTCGTCGCAGTCGTATTCGTATTCGTCGTAGTTGACATCTGACCCATCAATATATCAATTGAATTAATCTAATAGAAATTCCAGCGAAAATAAAAGGCCGGAGCAAGCAGTTCGTATTCGAACTCTCGCTTTGGGAAACTGAATGTTTTATGGGATTTATTGTTCGATCGCTACGACAGCACCTCTAAGCAATTCCCAATAACTTTGTCACTGTTATTACTCTTGTTATTGTTGTTATATTATCGATGCGGAATTTCAATATTATTCAAATAATAAATAATAATCATTCGTTTCTATTTTGTTTTATTTGAATTGAATATTTCATTTGTTTTTGTGTTTTGTTTTTTACAAAATACTCTCTTTTCGAGATAATAATTTTTATAATTTTTTTACTCTTGTATTTAATTTGTTTTTATTTATTATTTTCTTGTTGCTGTTTTTTTTTTTTTTTTTCTTTTTATATTGACTTTCGAACTTTTCTCAAAATAATCGCTGTTTTTCCTCTCAATACGTCCGTATTCCAACACGTTTCTTTTAAGACTGGGAAAATACTTGGCTGACCGTTTTATGCTTTAGTTAGTTGGGAAGAGGACTGACTGACTGGCGGGCATAGCTGATCTCGATGGTAGTTGAAATGCTGTTGTTTTGTTTTTGTTTCTTTTTTGCGGCGGCGTTGGCGACATTCGGATTGCTTTAAATGTTGTTGTGATTCTTATTGCTGCTGCTCTGAAGAAAAAGAAGAAGATGATGATGATGATGATTATGACGATGCTGATGATTTCCAATATGACCAGCAGCTATTGCCACTTGCTACCGCTGGTTCTTGAGATTGATGTTTTGGTTTTATCGTATCTGCTGCTTTGGTCCCTGTGTGGTGGTGGCTGTTGTTTGTTGTATCACTAAAATTACACGCATTGATTTAATTGTTCTATATCAGATGTCATCCGAATAGAATCAATATTAACACAGAATAGCATAGGACAAAACACAATGTTTGTAAATGGAAATAGGATTGAAACATTTTAGAAGAGATATTTCAAATATAATTCCTCAGTGATAAAAATTACATTCAATATGTCATTGAATCATAATTAAAAACAATTAAAATAGTATCAGTGGGTTTTGCCGACAGATGTATACCTACAGCCTTGAGTTATGATAATTCATACTTTTTACCCTTTATGGAGGAAGTTCCGAAGTAGTTGGCCTATATTGACCAATTCGTATCTTGCCTAAAACTGATACAAATATTACAACGTGCCAGATTTGGACTATATCGACTACTTCCAATGCTTTACATTTTTGGAAAATGTGGAAATATGCATGCATATAGCGAACTGAAGTATTCCATTTTCATACTTCATCTAATACAGATACAAATTTTGGCGTGTGCAAAATTTGAAAGAAATCAAACATTTATATCCAATTTTATGCGAAATCATAAATTTCGATAAATACATGTTCATATCAGATGTTTGGTTAAGAGAAATATTTAGATAAAAGTTGTGAAGAATGACCGACCTGTTTATGACAGATAAAAGTATTGAAAACTGTGACCCTTTGTGGGTTAGGTAATAGGATCTCAGTTATATATCATCTTCACAATAGATCCTGCGTTAGAAAAAATATTTGGATGTGTGAAATTTGAATAGAGTTGGATGCTTATATTGCTTTCTTTGCCCGTTTCGTTTTTCAAAAATATTGAACCCTATGTGAGGGAGGTACCAGAAGAAAAAGTCCGATCTGGACCATATTTATAACAGATCTTGTGTTTATGGAAATATTGAAATGTACCAAGTCTGAATGGAATCGGATGGTAATTTTGCGATGTATGAGCTTCATGGATATACAATATTTTGAACCTTTGTGGGGGAGGTACCAAAAGGCGTAGACTGATGTATCCCATTTTCACAGCAGACCTTGGGTTAATGAAAATATTGTGATGTGTATAATTTGAAGAGAGCCGGTTGCTTATTTCGTTATTTCGGATTTTATCATCGTTTTGGTTATTGAAAACTTTGAACCTCTGTGGGGGAGGTACCAGAAGGAATGGCCCGATCTCTAACATATTTATAAAAGATCTTGTGTTTATGGAAATATAGCGATGTGCCAATTGTGAATGGAATTAGATATTAATTTCGCGTTTTATGAGTTTCATTGATATTCAAAATGTTGACTCTTTAAGTGGGAGGTACCAGAAGGGGTGAACCGATACCTTCCATCTTCAGACTAGACCTTGGATTAATAAAAATGTTGTGATATGTGTAATTTGAAGACACTAGGACACATACACCACATTTTATAAGAGTTATAATTAATCAAAATTACTTGATGTAGTGGACCAATATTGTCCATTTTCGAACCTCACCTAACAGTGATGCAAATATTAGCAATCGCAAAATTGGAGTAAAATCGAATTATCCTTTCTCTTTCTCGGTAATAAATTATTTTCTTTGAAAATTTTTGACATTTTGTGTGGGAGGTACCAGAAGGAGTGGACCGATATTACCCATCTCCAAACTCGAACTCGAAAAGTGCACCTCCAGTTGCCCCCCCAGAACTCAAGCGCCGTTATGATGATGGTGTGGACCGCCATAACAGCCGATGATCGCTCTTCGCTCGTATTAATAGGCCGTGGCATCAGAATAAATGCCAAATATTATCGCGAAAATATTCTGCACGCAAACATTTTGGCCACAGACCTTGGACATTCCAACAGGACTCAGCACCATCGCACTCAGCACGCTCCACCCAAGAATGGTTACAAAATGAGATTCCTCGCTTCATTTCCAGCGCACAATGGCCACCAAAATCTCCGGATACCAATTCGTTGGACTATTGTGTCTGGAGTATATCAAAATACCAAAGTGTCGATTACCTCAAGCAAACTCTCCGCCAGGAATGGGCCAAAATACCGACGAGCAACATTCGGGCAGCGTGTAACGGTTTCATTGGCCAGTTGAAGGCCATAATTCGTGCCAAATGTGACCAATTTGAAAAAATTATTTGACTTTGTTGCAGTTTTTTATCTTACCCTGTATTTTTTGGATAGAATTCAATTTATACCCTAAGCACAGAAAAAATCTGCATTTTGCTTACAACCCCAACTTCATATTGTTATAGGACTATTATAAAGCCTTCTGCCGTTATATAGTACGGTATTTTTCATATATTAGTATTTTTCGTAAACTTATGATACGTATTTAATATTTCGCTTTGTTCCATCCCCCACGCCCACTTCCATTTTAAGCCCAGTTATCCCGAACTCTTTGTATGGATGATATAGTCATGTTTACTTGTTATTTACTATAGTTCGCAGATTGTTTTGAACTTCAAGATCAGGTTTGGTGATAACAAATTTATTGTTGCTTTAGTCCATTTCTCTTTAGTCGTCAGCTAAATGTTCCCAAGAGAAAAATATCCTTATCAGCAATGCTAAGAGAAAATGAGGTGGGATATTGAATCCTCTCATCTGTTTCTCTTGAGTTTGGTTTTTTGTTTTTCAAAGTAAGCGACGAATTAAGTGATAACATCTCACGGAGTATGGGATTCAATGTGAATGGGCTGCTCGGTTATCCGTGAGCATTATGAAACTAAAATAGAACAATTAATCAACTAAAAAATAAATAAATAAAGATTAAATGCAAATATTTCATACCGATTATAAAGATGCATTTTATTGATTAGAAAATTAAAAAATATATATATTTTTAGAAAAGAAACACATTTGTTTTATTGCTACAATTTGCTGACAATTTCTTTATATACATAATAATATTTGGACGACAGTAAAAAGACACATGCCTATACGCATCATGTTTTATTTCCCAATCGTTGATTGCGACACATTGATAGGAATGCAATTGGAAAAAATAATATTTAGCTCAAGACCAATCACCTCATTTTTTAAATGATCGTCATAACGATGAAGCTGCATATTTCAAAAAATAAATAAATAATAAAATATTGTAAAAAATTGTTTTTATTTATTTTATTGCATTATTCCAACACAGTGTTATGAAATATGAAAACTTGTAATATATGCATACAACGGCCCATTAAATCATTTTTAAGCCCCTTACGGATTAAAAAACGTCTGTAAATTATCATTAAAATGTGTTCAATAAAAGGTAAATGAATTATTATTATTTAGATGAATCTGGATAGAAGTCACATTACTTTCCGAATTGAAAGTCTTTGGAAACAAGTAAAATAGTTTCAGTCGGTTTTGCCGACAGATATATACCCCAGCCTTAAGTTATGATTATTCAAACTGTTGAACTTTTATGGGGGAGGTTCCGAATCATTTAGCTAATATTGACCAAGTCGTATCAGACCTAAGACTAATATAAATATAACGAGCCAGATTTGGACTGTATCGACTACTTCCTACACTTTATATGAGATATGTGAAATTTTTCGGAAAATGTGAAAATATGTGTGAGGTACGAGATTTAGCGGGCCGAAGTATTCAATTTTGATAATTTATCTGATACAAATAAAAATATTGGCATGTGCAAAAATTTAAGGAATCGAACATTTATATTGAATTTTATGCGAAAACATAAATTTCAATATATATCCCATCTTCACAACAGATCTTGTATAAGCAAAAATGTTTATATGTGTGAAATATAAAGAGAACTTGATGCTTATTTCGGATTTTATAAAGGTTTTGTTTATTCCAAACTTTGACCCTTTGTGGGGAGGTATCATAAGAAATGGTCCGATCTCTACCTTCTTTAAAACAGATCCTGTGTTGATAGAAATATTCAGATGTGCCAAATCATATTTTATAAGATTTATAATTATTCAAAATTTTGACCCCTTGTGTGAGAAGCACTTGATGGAGCTAATAAAATTATTGGAATGCGTCAAATTTAAAGGTAATCGGACTCTTACATCACATTTTATAAGAGTTGTAATTATTCCAAATTTTGACCCTTTGTGGGAGGTATTTGATAATGTGGACCGATATAGTCTATTTTCGTATCTGAACTAGCACTGACGCAAATATTAGGATTTGCAAAGTTGGGGTAAAATCCGATTATCGTCTCTCTTTCTGTGCAGAAAATATATTTCTTTTTTAAATTTCGATCTTTGGTGGGTGTGGTAGCAGATGGAGTGGACCGATGCATTCCATCTTAACACCAGACCTTGGGTTAATATAAATATTGGGATGTGTGAAATTTGAAGACAATCGGATTCTTACATCACATTTTATAAGTGTTGTAATTATTCAAAATATTGACTCTTTGTGGGAGAGGTACTTGATAGAGTGGACCGATATTGTCCATTTTCGCACCTGAACTAGCACTGATGCAAATATTAGGATTTGCAAAGTTGGACCTTTTGTGGGGGAAGTACCAGAAGGAGTGAACCGATATTACCCATCTCCGAACTCGATCTAAGTTTGATAAAAAAATATTACGATGTACCAAGTTTGGACCGAATTGGATACTCCCTTCGAGAGTTATCGTGCACACCAGCCAGCCAGACAGACAGACGGACGGACATCGCTAGATCGACTACAAAGGTTCTGAAATGGATT